CAAATGCCACTTGACCATGTGCATAGCCATCAGAAGCTCAGTGTATCTCCTGAGGTTGACTATGAAGCTCAGGCAGCTCAGGGAGATGGTCTGATTTGTGCTCAATGATAATCTTCTTTTTCCTCTTACTAAAACACTCAAAAAGGTTCCTCTCTGAAACTTACTGCATATACTTTTCAAAGAGAGCAATAGCTAAAAACAACTCATTAAATATCTTTTCCTTATTCATTCCTTAATTTTTTTTTGTATTTTATTCATTGATTGACATAAAGTATAATTAAATATTTGGCATACTAAGCAATCAGTCTGATAATTTTGTCATAATCTCTTGCTTATTTTCTCTTCTCAGAAATATTGAATTATAGAAAATGACATGAGCAATTGAAAATCCTAAAATTAGGGAGAAGCTGTTGAAAAATATTATATGTGGCCTAAAATGCACAGAACCAAATTTACCTTGTCTGGGTCTCTACAGAAGGCAAGAAATTCTTTGTCAAGTTTGTTATGAACAGAGGAAGGGATGATCAGTGACGCTCACACAGTTGTGTCATTTCTTGTTGGCCAGAGTGAGGGCTAAGTCCATGTGGCAAGACCAGATAACTTGAACCTACACTGGAGCAGTCTTACCACACAGCGGAGAAAACCTACCAATGCCCTTGGACAGAGCGCATAGGCAGACTTTTAGGAGAAAATAAAGAAAAAAATTCCTTCCAGGAAAACACAACTAGCAAGTCCAGCCTATTGAATTTTATGAGCATTCTTTCAATTCTTCTTTTTCCAGAAAAATTTTTCATATTTTATTGATATGTAAGGCTAGTCAAGTGAACATCCTCTCCTGACAACTCCCCATGAGACAAAAGAGAAATTAACGTTATTCCGTATAGAAAAATGTTTATATTGTTGCTCTTATTCCTCACAACTTTAAGTGAATTTAAGATCCATCACCTTGTTAAATTCTCAAAGTGAATGTCCATGACTCATATCCCTACTTTCTGACATAATGTCTTTGAGGGCATCCTGCTTCTTTTCTTGTTTTTGTGTTAATTTTCTCTCAGCTCACAGATGATTCTTGTAAGTGACCTGTGCTTTCTCCTCACTGTGCGCTGGCTTTTCAAACAGGTCCACAGTGTCCGAAGAGAGGCAAGCAATCTATATAAACAATAGGATTATGCCTTACCATATTACATTGTGCAGTGAGATGTCTCTGAACATACTGAACTTGGAACTTGGAGGGTAGGGATCTGTATAGTGTTTTGAAAAAAGGAAATTCTTAAAGTATAGGACATGTGATTTTTCTAAGCAATTTTATTGTATACACTTAAAGGGGTCATGTAGGGATGGCTTCTTTCATGTAAGGATGAAATGAAAGAATTCAGTGGGCGCCCAAGGTCAGATACTGTATTAGTTTAAACTGAACTAAAACTCTAAGCTCCTGTCTTATAGCCCAGTGCTCACAGAAAGAACACTGAGCTATTGTTTATTAGTCGTCTGCTGTCCCTAGCTGGGGACCCTCAGTCCTCTCTCTAGGGCTGGAATCAGCTTTTTTTTTTTTTTCCAAAGGGAATATATTTGTTATGGGAGAGGGATACCCCGTAATATTAAAGGGTTAGTCATAAAGAAAAGATTTTTTTAAGCTCAAACCTTTTAGGGCACTGAATATGCATTATTAATAAAAGTATAAAGAAATGCTTGCTATTTATTTTCTCTTCCATTGAGCTCAGAGATAATATAGCAGGGAAAGGAGAAAGTCATGAAGAGGAAAAGAAACACTAACAGAAGAATAACAAAAGGAAGGTCATTCTGTAATATATGACCCCTAGATGGGGGCTTTATACTTTCCAGATGAATCTGTTTCTCAGTAGAAAGTTTCCATTGCATCCAAATACCTTAGTGTTTTCTAGAGCTAAAGGTGTTTGGATCTCATATTCTCACTGAAGATGAGGTTTCATCAAGGATGCCCAGATAGTGAGTGACAGATACAGACTTAGAACCAGGGCCACCCACCTGTTCACTCATTCATTCACGTAATCATGCCATGACCCTCCTCCAAGTCCTGCTGTGATTTCATGTGGCCTTTACAAGAAAATCCAGGTACTAGGACTGGTTACCCAGCCCCTGCTCTTCCTCTGTCTCCTCACTGATCACTGTCCTTTAGTAGGCCCCGGTCAATCTGGTCTCCTTCTGGTCCTTAAATCTGCCAAGACTTTCCCCACATAGCCTTTCTGTTTCCTGCCTGAAGCAGCCTTCTGTGAGACCTTCTCATGGCTTACTCATCCTCTTCCTTAATAAATTCATCTCCATACAGACACACTGCAGAATCCTCACCACATTATGCCTCCTCATGCCATCCTGGTTTTCTTTATAGATTTGGCATAGTGCTGTGATTTGTGTGCTTTCCTCCTTATTATCTATCACCATTTGCAATATACGCTCTGTGGGAGCAGAAAGAGGTCTGCACGTTTACTCCCCTCCTTGAAGTCACTAGAACTGTTCCTGGTAGATAGCAGGTACCTACTTAAGAAATGCTAAACTAAACATTAGGGAGAGTTAAAACACATTAAAAAAACAAATAAAATAATCACTTCCCTAGAAATACTCAGAGCTGGCGACTCCAGGAAGTTGGTTTTGTACTCCATTACACATCCATTAAATTTCACTCAGCATCTGGCAGATTTCTGGAGATTCAGGTCACCTGATTTCCAGAAATAGTCATCTACTATGATTCTAGATTGTTCCTGAAAAGTGTCTATACTACTGTTTGGTGGGATAGACCCTTTACACCTGGACACCTGCCATATCCTTGGTAGGATCACCTTCTGCTTTCAGACATAGCTTAGATGATAAATTATGGGCTGACCAACTCATTGATCTTTCAATTTAAAATTAATAATTAACTCAAGTCAAAGTGATTTAACGATGCAAATTATATCGATATAGGAATATGAAAGGTCAAATCATATCTCTGGAGAAGGGTAATTTCATGGGCTAAAAATATGATAAAAGAAAGTCTGGGCCCAGTTTCTATTAGTAAGTTGACTGATGAATCCAGGGTTTTTCAAGATACGTTTATTGATTCTGGGAAGAGCAAGTAAGAGTTATCATGAAGTATAGAGTAGGAAGTTCCTTATTGTCCCATAAACTGTTTTCCAAACTTCAATTACAAAACTACAATTACAGTCTTGAATCCTGGTTTAAAGCTAATGAAATTGAGGCTTGCAGAGGTGAAATAGTTGATCCACTGTCACTCAGCCAGAATATGTAAAGCTCTGGACCTAAACTCATCTCTCTCTGAGAGGACCCTCTATGACGCCCATTGCTTCTCAAACAACCAAATGAATAGTTTGACAGACATTTCCTGTACTTAGGGAAGTTTGCAAAATGTCAGGTTCAACTATACTAAGTCTGCACAGGACATGTTAGTGTTTGCAGCTTCAGGAAGTGCATCAGAGGAAGACAAGGGGCACAGTGTCCCCCTTACTAGTTGTGCAAGGAGGGGGATAAAGTTCTTCCAAGCAAATTTTGGAAAATGCTTCCAAAGACCTTCAACAGGGCCAGCAGTACCTTTCTGCATGATCGGCCCTCACCTGGGTAAAACAAGCCTGCACATCAAGTGAGAGGCAGGGCTAGAGTTCAAGGGAAGACTCTAGCATCCTCAGCTTTGAAAGGATGCCACTATCCTGAGACCCCTGAACTTCAGTACACAGTCCCTGTACTCAACTTTTTTGTATCTTCAATTTCTTATTTTAAGCCTAGAAGTTTCCATAAAGGGTTACATGTAGGCTACATTTGTACGAGCACATGTTTATGGAAACCAGAGGTTGACACTGAGTGATGTCAGTTGCTCTCCACATTGTTTTTGAGCACGGTCTCTTATTGAATCTGGAGCTCACCAGCTTGGCTAGGTTGGATGGCAAGCAGGCCCCATAGACCATCCTGTGTCGGTCAGTGCTGGGTTTACAGGAGTATACCTCTGTGCTCAGCTCTTTATGTAGGTGCTGGGGATCAAACTCAGGTCACTTTACTGACTGTGGCATTTTACCGACTGAGCTACCTTCCCAGACCCCAACACTGTAAGTTTAATAACTAAGACCTTCTCACCATTTGGGCAGTGAAGATGCTGTTCTCATAGAAAAATGAGAACAAACAGGAACTATTTTGTCCCTTTCTAAGACTTGTTGGCTGTGAGAGTTGGAAAGTGAGGGGTGTGGGAGGTGGGGGTTCCCTGGGCTTTCAGCTAAGAGGTGAGTGCTTTGTGCTGCAGATAAAGGGCTAGAAGGGCTCTATCTGGCCCACGGGGCGGGCGGGCTTCCTCCCAGCAGGAGAGGCAGTGGAGGTGAGATTCCAATGGCTTTTGTCATCTTCCATTTTTTTCTTTTCCAGCCCACCTTCCCTCTCTCATCCACAGTGTCTTAAAACCTTTTGCCTCCTCTGAAATGACTCAAACTAGAAAGTTTCTAAAGCAAGTCCACTTCAGTGACCCAGGAAAGCCAGCCCTGGTGTCTGAAATTACCTGGTGTAGCTAGTGTTCCACCAGCTGTGCACCTGACTCGCTGTTGTTGTTTTCATTGCTGTTATTTTATGGGTTTAGGTATAACCACTTAGTCCTTACACATCCAAGACTTGCTTCCTATGTTTTATAATTATGCTTTAACTTGAGTCGGAAATATTTTTATTTTTACTTAAGGAAAGGTACCCCTGCGAAAGCAATTTTAAAGGAATTGCAGTACAAGTTAATATGCACAGACACTAGTTTCTCCCTCCTCCCCCTCCTTCTGGATTTGGAGGGTCCCATCCATCAGCAAATCCTGTTGGGCTTCTTCAAATTGTTCTGGAGCCAAGGTCTGAAGTCCATCCCGCAGGCTACCCTAGAGGGCGCGCTGCCTACATTTTCTGCCTAGGCTGCCAGCTCTAGCTCCCAGGCTCCATAAAAGGGGAGGAGGCGGATCAGTTTCCTTCTCTCATTGAGAAAGCAGAGGATTGGAAGGCCGGGCGTATAAAGCCGAGCAGAGAGCGTGAAACAAAGCAGACGATCGGAATTGGACTTGGGAGGCGAGGCGTGGAGTCAGGCTGAAAACTTGTTGGAGCGGAGTAACAAGCCGCCGCCTCTTCCCCTCATCTGCGCTGTGCCTCGAGGTTTCCCACCAGCCTTGCGATTTATTTTTATATCTGCTTTTTATATAGAGAGAGAAGTATATATATTTTTTTTTCTAAAGAGAAAATTCCTGTTCCAAGAGAAAATAAGGCAACATCAATGAAGGAGAGAAGAGCCAGCCAGAAATTATCCACTAAATCTATCATGGATCCTAATCAGAACGTGAAATGCAAGATAGTAGTGGTGGGAGACAGTCAGTGTGGGAAGACCGCGCTGCTGCACGTCTTTGCCAAGGACTGCTTCCCCGAGGTGAGTGTGGCCGGCCGGGCTTTGGGGGTGGCGGCAGGTGGGACCCCCCCCCCCCCCG